TGGATCACCACCACAGCATGGCTGCCAGTAAGCGGTGTAGGTCCACACCTGTAAACCGAACCCGGGCTCCTGAAGCAGAGTGCACTGAACTTAACCACTAGGCCATGGGACCAGCCCCTAATGATATTGTTAATGTTCCATTTTTTAGTTTGATTGATAGGTACCAATTCTTACATAGTCTTTTGAATGTATCAACTATTGCATAATGAAATGTGTTTACATTGTAAGTATTTGGACATTAAGAAATATGCTTCTAGATAACCACTGGATTAAGGATGAAGTCAAAAGAAATTATAAACTATCTAGAAAGTAATACAAGGAGATCACTTCATATCAAAACCTATGAGACACTGCTGCAAAAGCTATACTAGCTTATACCATAAAGAGAGAAAGAGTTAGCCTTAAAGGATTTGATTATTAAAGAAGGAACAACCAAAAAGGGAGTGGATTCTTAGTACATCTGAAGAACATTGAAAAAGATTAACAAAATAAACCAAAAGAACTAGAAAGGAGGAATTTTAAGATAGGAACAAAAACATTAATAAATGTAAAGCTAAAAAATCAAAAGATAAATAATGCTTTCAACATGGAAAAAAGATCAATAAAATTAAACTCCTCTTGAGTCTGATTAAGAAAAAATAGAGTAGATAATATAGACTTTGCTTATTTCTAAGAAGGAAGCAAACAGGATTCTGTGATGAAAAATTGACTCAGGTGAACTAATGAGAAGATAGCATGGTGGGGTGAAAGCTTTCCTAATCTAAGGAGGAGAAGGACCCAGTCTAGCTGTAGGACATTTGGGGGTGGTGATAGGGAGATTTCTAGGATGCTCTTGAGGTCAGAAAGAGTATGGTGTGTTCAAAAAACCAAGTTTCCATGTCTAGGACTCAGCAAACAAGGATTGTATGGGGTAGTAGAATGCTTGAGTGAATGAATGGTGTCACAGTATCTGTCTTTCTTTGCAAATAACCACAAGGTGGCAACAAGAGGAAAATAAAAAATACATCTGATTATCAAAATATATGCTATTAAAATATATGTAGCTACAAACTGGATCATCAAGCCCTGGATAATCTCTGAACACTGTTCCAAAGGGGGAATTTTTTTCTCTCTCTCTCGGAAGTTTTTAACCCAGGGAATTCTACTTTGTTTATTTCATCATGCAACTTAACGCATGTGTTAGTCACTTCCTGTGTGTCCAATCTACTATGTGGGCAAATTGGATCCTTAGCAACCAGGAAGTACATGAATAATCTCTGTGAAGCTCTTACTCACCACGTGTTAGTGATCTGAATGCTAATTAGTATTTGTAAAGTAGGAGGAGAAACAGGAATGAAGTGGTGGTTTATTTTCATTACCTGACAGTAATAAACATATCATAATATTATTGTAAAGAATAATATCCTATTGTCCTTTCATCTTGGCAGTTTAAAGAAAACGATCTTTATCTCACTCTATATGGAAAGATTTGGAATAGATGGGAACAATTAACAAAATATGGTTTTCAAAAGGGATAAAAATAATGAAACCTATACTTCTACGTCTAATATCTTTCCAAATCATCAGACCCACACATACAAGGACTTACTCAATAGAGTCACTGGATATCTACAACTCAAACATGTTCAAAATGTTAGACATCATCTTACCCTCAACTCAACAGTTACACCATGGAACTCTCCATCTTTCCCTCCCCCTTCCTATACCATTCCTCAAAAATTAATTCCAGATGGATTGCCGAAATAAACGTGAAAATAAAAGAATAAAGCTTTTAGAGGAGAACACAGGAAAACATCTTCATGACCTTGGAGTAGGTAGAGATTTCTTAAACAAGACATAAAAGACACTAACATAGAGAAAAAAAATCCCCACATGTATATCCGAGAAAGGATTCATATTTAGAATACATACAAACTTTTACTAATCAATAAGAATAAGATAGACAGCACAAGAGGAAGAAGAACAAAAGATTTGAACAGACACTTCACAAGAGGATATCTAAATATCAAAATAAAAAAGTGTGAAAAGGTGCTTCAACCTCATTAACCAGCAGGGGCTTATAAATTTAACCATAAACCACAGTGAGATTATTACTACCCATGTACCAGAACGGCGAAATGAAAGTCAGAAAATTCCAGGAGTTGGAGAGCATGTGCAGCATTTGGAATTTTTAGTCATTGCTGGTAGGTTTGTAAATTGGTATAATATTTTTGAATACTATTAGGCAGTATCTACCAAAACTAAAAAGGGTACACACAATAGGATTTCATTTACATGAAGCTCACAGAGGCAGGCCTAACCCATGCTGTGAGATGTCAGGATGATGGTTATCCTAGGGGAGGAGGGGACAAGAACTTGAAGGGAGTAAGAAGGAGTGTTCTGGAAAGCAGGGAATTGATCTGTTTCTTAAGCTGGATGCCGGCCACGTGAGTATATCTAGTTGTGAAAATTCACTAGGATTTACACTTATGATACAAAAAATTTTTATATGTATATTCACGTCCAATAAAAATTTAAAAGTAATCTAACAACTCATTTTTAGAGAGGAATCAGACTAGAGGGTAAAGATTGAAGAACACTATTTTTACCTTATAATAATAATATTCCATAGAAGCTATCTTTTTAACTCACCTTATGATCTTAGCCATGAGTCACCTAGTAAGATCCATCTCTCGGCATAACCTAGGAAATTACTCCTGTACTGCTGTGGGTGCTGGAGGTGGGAGGGAATCCTTCCTTCTTCCCAATCAGAAGCATTATTTCTATAGCCTATATATTATTTTCAAGCTCAGTTCTCTCTTGCCTATAGCTATAAGTGCTCTCTTTTTCCTCTCTGCTTCTAAAAACAAATAGAATTTTCTTCTAAAATAGTAGAATAAAATTGCCCATGTATTCTAGGTCCTAGAAAACAGGCCCTATTTTGACAAAACATCAGTTCTACAATTCATTCTTCACATAATTACATAACTCAAACTCATTATCTAACAATCCCCCTATTTTAACTGAATCTTTTTCTGTATATTTCATCCATAGCAACATGCTTTCTAGCTCTTCCACAATCATTTCGCTTAGAGGAGATGTCTCAAAGGTTTCTCTTCACGTTATAAACTACCAAGAAAGGAAAGGCTTCAAGCTTTGTGAACAATAGGCACTGAGAAAATTCTAGAGTAGCAATTATTCATTGCACATTCAACAATCAGTTTTTGAGGGCTCTTAGGTGCCAGGCAATGATCTAGGCACCAGAGATACAGTGCAATAATGGTCAAGCATGTAGGGTCTGAATTTACACAGCCTGGGTTCAAATCCTAGAAAATAATTTAACTACCTCTATAAAATTGATCTGTTTACTTTACCTCTCTCTGACTCAGTTTTCTCAGTTATGGAGTAGAGACACCAGTAATGCCTTTCTCCCAGCTTTGTTAGGAAGGTTAAATGGAATATTATGTGGAAATCACTTAGAACCATCCTTGGCACATATGGTAAGCATTCAGTACATGTCAGCTGTTATTACCAGAAGAGATGACACCTAATGATTTTTGCCAAATCACCTGTTGACAAAGTTCACCACCACCATGACTACCTGCCATGTCCTCTCCTCTAGCCATCCCATCCATGCTGGCAAGGAAGTGACAAATGTTTGAACTGAACTAGCAGCTAGGCTTGTGGTACTGAAGTCCTTAGTCCATTCCAGCTCCTGCATTTTACAAATGCAGACACTGAAGCCAAGAGACACTGCCCAGCTTGAATCAAATCTGACACAGCTAATTCAGAGTTGAAGCTGGTATTAGACCTTGGGTCTCCACATTCTTAGTCCACGCACTGGGCTGGAAAAGCCTGCAAACTGAAAGATTTGCCTGTGCTCTTGTCTGCCTCACATTTGACTTCACCAACGGGAGCAAGTCAGTCACATTCCTCCAGTTGGAGGGGGAGGCACCTTGCTGTAAATTGTCTATTTTTAGCCTCTCTATATGGCCTGCTCTCTGCAGACTCACTCTAGCTAACAGACTGCTGTGGGATTTAAGACACTCTCCATGGTGTTGCCTGTTGGTTGCCATGGCAACAAAATTTAAGATAAAGAGTTTTCTAGTAGATTATTCTGGTGGAGGCTTTAGAGCCAGATTACAGCTCTAACTCTGAAGTTTAAATGATGCAAGTGATTAGTACTGGTACATAGTAGGCACATCATAATACTTGTTGAAAAACAGAATACGTGAATGCAGTTAGTTGCCTTAGAGAGATGATGTAGTACCCAACTGATCTGCTACTTAAAGTCAATACTTAAAGTCAGTCTGGAGCAAGTTTACTCATATCCTCCTTGGATTTTCACATTACCTGACACTCTCTGTGTGAGATGATTTGTCTGATTCCAAAGGACTGCCTCTGATCTCCAGGCCACTTACTAACTCTGCAACCCAGGGCTCCGACCGCACACAGATGGTTGTTGCAGACTTGGAAAAGGCAGCAGGAATCCGGATCCTGGAGTTCCCCTTGCAGGCCTTTTATCTGGGGAGCTTATTCACATCTGAGAGGGATGGTGTTCAGCCCTTCTAAGGTCACTTTTGGAAAATGTAATCACCATATTTAATAAATGCATGTTTTTATTTAAACTGCCTCTCTGGTTTGAAAGGCAGTCCTTCTAGCCACGATGAGTGAACGTTATTAGATAAGCAGAGGGGCAACAGAGCGCATAAATCTCCGTTAGTTCCCGGGGCTTTCAGCAAGGGTTCTCCCTCACCCCTGCCTGACGGGCTCTTGCCCTTCTCAATAAAATCTACTTTCTCTCTTAACCATTTGTCCTTCCTCCCTCCCTCCTTCCTCTCCTTTTCCTCCCTCTCTGCCTATTCTCCATTCTGCCTATCCTCTTTCTCTCTCTCTCCCTCCTTCCTTCCACAGTGGCCTTGGAAAGAGCACAGGCTTTGGAGTCAAAATTAGATTCAAATCCTCACTATCTCTGATGTTTGTTAGTGGTGTGACCTTCAGCAACTTTCATTACATCTTGAGAAGCACTTCCTCTTGTGCACAAGGGGCTACTCGGATGGTTTCTGTAACAATGGAGTGTTTCTCAAACTTTAGTGCGCATGAGAGTCACCTGAGGAGATAGGTGAAAATGCAGATTCTCAAGAACCACACCCACAGATTCCAATCCATTAGGTGAAAATCCCAGGCATCTGCATTTTAACAAGCTTTCCAGACTTCGAGGGTCCTCCTTTGAGAAACACTAGATACGCTCATAAACACTTAGTGGAAGGAGACATGTAAATATTCTAGCTATGGTTATTATTCATTCAGTAAATGTTTATTGAACATCTACTATGTTCATGATACCAGGCCCCGTAGATATGTCCCAACTTAATTTCTTTTACTATGAATTTAATTGTCCTGTATGTATGCCTTGTCCCATCCCACTAGTTGTAAAGTCCTGGAGGGCAGAATAAAGCAGCATAATGTGGTACAGAAGAACAGAAATGTTAGAAGACATGAATTCTAATCCTTATTCTATTATTTACTAGCTATATGACTTTAGGGAAGTCATTTTATCTCTCAGAACTTTATTTTCTTCATCAAAAATGGGAAAGGTGAGTATAGTGGCTAAAAGTCTAGAGTTTGGAGTCCTGGCTCTAATACTTTCCAGGTGTGTAATCACGAGATTGTTAACTTCCTTGAGCCTCAGCTTCCTCTTATGTAGAAAGGGGATTCATTTGTTCAACATTCATTCCTTCCACAAATATTTATTGAGCATTTTCTATGTACCAACACTGTGCTAGGTACTGAGAATACACTAAGGAGTAAGACGGACAGGGTCCCTGACTCATGTAGCTTTCAATTAAATAGTGGACACAAATATTAAATAGGTAACTACACAAATAACCAATTTCATTGTGATAAATTTTACTAGTGGGAGCTAACCTAGCCTGGGAGTATCAGAGAAGACCTCCCGAGAGGGGGGATACTTAAGCTGAGCACTGAAGAATGAGTAGACATTACCCAGAACAGAAGGACCTGAGGTGGGAAGAAGCTGGACTCTGAAGAAGGAAAGGGATGCCAGTGTGGCTGAAACTGAGTGCACAAGGTCCCCCCTACCTCACAAGTGTTGAAAGGATTAAATGAGATAATATAGTGCTTACCACAGTGCCTGGCACAGAGAACCATAATGATCATGGGGATAACACACCTTCTGGTTTGCTGTAGACTGTGTATGAAGTTCTGTGTAAACCAGAGGCTCTCAAACTAGCGTCCATCAGAATCAGCTGGAGGGCTTCTTAAACCACCGATTGCTGGGGCCCACCTCCAGAGTTTCCAACTCAGTAGGTCTGGCATGGGGCAGATAATCTGCAATTCTAACAAGCTGCTGCTGGTTGGGTGGAGGGGTATACTTTGAGAACAACTGGTGCAAACTGTCAATCAAAGTTGAATCTCCCACTGATACCCAGTTCTAGACCCTGCACAGAGCAACCTTCCCATAATTATTTAATAATATTCTTGATACTTTTAGAGCAAGAAAAGGCCCTTCATAAATCCCCATCTTTCATTTTTACAGAGGAGGAATTCAAGGACCAGAGAAAGTGAGGAAGCTGCTTAAGAAATGGGAGGAAACTGAACTCAAGAGCTTTTCCTCTTAAGAGTGTACTTTTTGTACATTCTGAACTACAGCAGGTACAAGGCAGCCCCTGAGAGAGGCTTACCCCATATGCTCCTCACACTGGCTAGATAACCAAGATGACCTAGGCCTCCCTTACATACCTCTTTCATACTTAAAATTTTCTTACTAAATGAATTGTTTGGAATAAACATATTTTTGAGAGAATCACAAGATAAATTCAATGAAATATAATCTTTTCAAAGAGAATACATCCCAGCACAATTGCCTATCATGTTTTATGTGGCAATGAGTACATATTAGCTCCCCTTCTCTTTTGTTTTTTTATAGGTGTGTAGGCCCCTCTCTTGTGGTAATGTTATAGGCTTTTAATTGATACTGGCCCTGATATCAGTTCCCCTACATTAAACCCAGCACATATGGGGTTAAAACCAAAAGCACTCATCCGCTTCCCCTCCTTACTCCCTGGCTTCCTGGCACCAGAATCTACCATCAACCACCAGGAGACCAAGGGCATCCACCTATGGATTCCCTTATCTCTCCATCCTCCTCTCTGCAAGCAGCCTCACAAGGCCAAACATGCTGGTGGAAAAGCACCAACCAGCAAGGCCACAGGCTCCCCCTCCCTAAAAGCAGCCTCATCATCACAACCTTTAAAACCCCTTACCCACTTCTTGATGGCAAGCCAGCAGTTCATTCCCTTTGCCTGGCGATGAGAATAAAGCTTTCTTTCCTTTTCACCCAAAACTCTGTTCTCGTTATTTGGATTGGCACCAAGTTCAGAGATGGAACATTCAGTAATGGTAATAATATTAGTAAATGAAATAAAAACGACAGCCGATATTATCAGTGTATGTCTGGGTCAGAGTGCATGCTTTATCCTCATCCTCTCATCTGATCCTCCCCACCATATTAAGAGGGAAGTCCTGATATCTCCATTTCATAGATGAGGATTCCAAGGCACAGAAAAGTCTAGTAACTTGATGCAGGTCCTAGAGCCAGGATTTGAATCAAGTCTGACTCCAGAGCTTGGGCTCTTAATTACATCGATGTGATGATTCATTTGTTCATAAAAAAAAAAACCTAAGATAATTATTGAGATATTTACAGTTAAAATAAAATCAGTGTTGAAATGAGTAATAGTAAGCTCTGAGAACAGAGACACCCTGAGGAGTCAAGAAGATGCATTTAAATAACTGTCTACAAATGAACAATCTCTCTTTTTGACAAGAAAACACAACAATAACTTTTATCCTGGTTTCATATTTCAAGAGTTAAGACTGGGAATATCCCAAAACAGTTTTTTTTTTTTTTTTAAAGCTGAGTCACTAGGGTCCTGTAGAAGGAAATAAACTCTCGGTTGATAAATCTTTGCTTCTGCGTCGGGGGGAGGGGGGTGCCGGGGAGGGGGACCGCGGATGGGGGGATCTTGTTTTACTTATTCACAACCAATACACTTTACCAGATTTAGTTCTGTCGGTTAACTTAGCATCAGAACACTCCGCTAGGAAGGCTACTTATTTGGGACAGTCTCTTCCCGTTGCTTAGGATGACCAAGGTCCTAATATGAACATCCGGACCTTGCCGGCAGATTTTCGAAAATTCCCAGCCACGCTCCATCCTCGTCCACGCTCTCCCGCTCTTGAACAACTGTAAAGTGCATAAAAGCTTGTGAGGGCCTGCAGAAAGCGCAGCGCCTCCGAGGTGGGCACACTTTTCCCCTTGTCTTCCTCGGGGAGCGATCCCAGCATCTCTCCCCGTGTCTCAGCGGAATCCCGATCGCGCTCCCTGGGCGGGTGGGGGGAGGGCACGCTGCTCCCGGCAGCTGGGCCCGGGGTGTCACCCACGGGGCCACGCGCTCCAGGGGCCACGCGCTCCAGGCACCCCGGGCGTTCGCGGGCCGGCCCGCCGCGCCGCCCCCGCCGGCCGCGCCACGCTCCGCCCTGGCCGCCGCTCGGCCCGGCGCCGGGGCGCGCGGGGGTGGGAGCGGGCCGCCTCAGCCTGATTTACGGCTCTGCTGAAAACCGCTTCGCTCCCGCAGCAGCAGCACCGGCCGCGGCGGCAGCAGCAGCAGCTGCAGCTGCAGCAACAAGTCGGGTAAGTGGCGGCCGCGGCGCGTGTGCACCGGCGGCCCAGCCCAGGGGGCGCGGCGGAGGGGGCCGGCCGGGGCTGGGCAGGAGGTCCCGTCCCCTCTGCGCGGCGGGCACTCGGGCTTCTCGGCCCCACCTGCAGGAACTCGCGTGCGCACTTGCGCGCTTCGGCACCCGCGGGCTGGCTTGTCGAGGAGCGGGGGCGGGGAGAGTCGGACCCCCGAGGCAGGTCGTTGCCGGCCTGCCCTGCCCAGGCGGAGGAAACTAAGGCTTCCCTGCTAACCCGGTGGACTGGGCTTTCCGCTGGGCCCCTGGAAGCTTGAGTACTCCCGGAGTGTGTGGTTACCCTTTTCCCCATCCAAGAATGCCACCTCTTTACTATGGCCCCCTAGAATCCTGACTTCCCCTTCCTTCCCCTCTTGCCTGCGTGTTTGGCCCGGGTTCGCATCCCATTCCTGGGGTTTGCATCTCATACCCAGAAAACCGATGGTTAAACAACCCAGCGTAGCACGGGAAGAGGTTCCGCTCTGCGTGCCAGAGGCTTGATAACCTGGAAGATTTGCCTAGCTGTCTGGGGACCGTTTGCACCTCTGCCTTTGAAGCGGTTGAGGGCCCAGTAACAACAGTTTTCGGTTTAGACCCTTACCTGGTCTCCCACTTTTTTGGCCCAATGCTTGATACGTTTAAGTCGAAACCGTTAAGGGAGGGAATAGATCTGCGCTGCTTGCAGAATTGGGTTGCTAGCAGTCATCTGTTGCTAGGGCTAAGATACATTCCTACTAGGAAATAAGAACTTCCTGTTATTAAAAAAGTTATGCTCATACCTACCTGGTTCACACGTTGGCTCTGTCTAGAGTTTGTCTTGTTAAAACAGCATCAGAGACAAGGCAGTCCATCCAGAACACCCTATTTTGATAGTCTTGGCCACGGCCCCACTTAGGTCAAATGATATTTGACCCCTTGGGTTCCTAAATTTCAGTAAATCTTTAGTATAGAAGGTCGTGATTGTTAGGATAACATTTAACTTATGTCATCACAGCAATAATTAAAGGACAAAGTAACGGCAAAAATCTTAGATGGAAAACTTTCCAGCTGATGGTGTGCTTAATGCCACTGTGCCTAGTTTGAATAATATCCTTCCTATACTTGAGGAAAGATCGCTGAGCTTGCTCTCTTAGGACCTATTTGAACAATTCATGTGAATTTTCCTCATTTTATGCATTCATGTTTATCAGGATTGTATCAGTAAACTAGGGCACGGTTTTGCAGTTAGTCTACTAAATTCAGGAGGGCAGAAAACTTGAATTCCACTTCTGGATCTGCCACTTCCCGTCTGGCCTCAGATTAATTACTTTACCTCTTTGCTCCGATTTTCTCATCTGTGAAAAGGGAATGTTACCCACCTTTTTTATCCTAGGCAGGGGTTGGCAAACTTTTTCTCTAGAGGCCAAGTAGTAAGTAATTTTGGCTTTGCAGGCCATAGAGTCTCTGACTCAGCCACTCACCTCTGTCACTTAGTGGAAAAATAGTAGTGGACAATATGGAAACAGATGGCTGTACCTAGATTTGGCCCGTGGGGTGTAGGTTTTAATTTTAACATAAGGTAATATCTGCAACTGAAACCGAAAAGCCTCTGCCCTCATAAAGATGAGCAGCAACAATCACTTCAGTAGCATTGTTTAAACAGACATGTAAAGTACTCGTTTTATTTTCCTCTGCCCAGGACTTTTAGAGTAATGCAACAGCAGGCTTTTGAGGCAAGCGGATACCCCTGGCAGGAGTCCTTTGAGAATGTTGCTGTGTGCCTGCCATTCCGCTGCCCGAGGTGTGGAGACCATACCAGATTTAGAAGCCTGTCGTCGTTGAGGGCCCATCTGGAATTCAGTCACAGCTACCAGGAAAGAACCCTCTTGACAAAATGCAGCCTCCTTCCATCCCTCAAAGACACAGACCTAGTCACCTCCTCAGAACCCCTGAAACAGGCAAAATTGCAGAGCTGTGGCAACGTGGTGAAGCAGAAGCCGAGCTATGTTAACTTGTATAGCATTTCACACGAACACTCCAAGGACAGGAAGCCATTCGAGGTGGTGGCAGAGAGACCTGTGTCCTACGTGCAGACCTACACTGCAGTGGACCTCCGTGCAGACTCGCTGGATGGGTCCCGGTCGAGTCCCGGCCTTCCCACCCCAGACACCAAAGCTTCTTTCGAGGCACATGTCAGAGAAAAGTTCAATCGGATGGTGGAAGCCGTGGACAGGACCATCGAGAAGAGAATTGATAAACTCACCAAAGAGTTGGCTCAGAAAACTGCTGAACTGTTGGAAGTTCGGGCAGCTTTTGTTCAGCTGACTCAGAAAAAGCAGGAAGTTCAGAGACGAGAGCGGGCCCTGAATAGACAGGTGGACGTGGCCGTGGAGATGATTGCGGCGCTGAGGCAGCGCCTGACGGAGTCCGAGGAGGAGCTTCTCAGGAAAGAGGAGTAAGTGGCGCCCGAACAGGATGCTAACCGCATTGCTGTAGGCACCTCCCCTCGAGTTACAAGCAAATGTTAAGTGAGGTTTGGTTTTTGTTGCTTGCAGATACCTGGGCTGCATTTCTCATCGAGATAGTTGAATGTAGGAGGCACAAGGCTTTTAATATTATGTACCCTCTCTTTGTGTGGTCTGCAGCCAAGCAACGTGAAAGTCAAAATATCTAATCCCGTCTCACCTTGGAAACTGTAAACTGCAGATACTGTTTTTAGAGAGTGGTTCAGTCTCTCTGTGGTGGGATCTGTTCCCAGCGCCACCTGGTGTTGGGGGCCGTTGAATGGGAAGGCAGAAAGGGCCTGCTCCGGGAGCCACTCCTTCTTGAGGGTCTCCATGGAGGAAAGTCCAGAACGTGAGATGCTGTCTTATTCAAGTATAAAAATATGCTCTGAATACAAATAATTTTGGCTTCTTTGCTGTTTGGCTTAACAGCCTATGTTAATTAAATGTCGATAGCTGAGAATCCACTTAATTATAATTTTTATTTGGAAGAAGCAGACATTAGGAAACCCAGAGGAAATTTTCTGAGATTGCTATACTTCTATGATGTAAGTTTGAGAATTTTCTTTTTGTAAACTGATATGTGATACTAGGCTAAGTCATGCCTCCTTGCAAAGAATTGACGCTGGTTTTCCGTGTCAGTTTACAATGATCAGAGAAGTTCTTGTAAAAATTATTATACTTGGAAAAGTATTTCCTTATCAATAAGTATGGATTCAACCCAAACTAGGAAAGTATGCGTAACAATGAAGCGTATTTCCCAAATACAGAGTGTTGGGTTTAATTTTAAAAAGAGGCTCAGAATTCATAGAATCAAAGAACATGAAAATTGATAGACTAAAACATGCTAGAAGGAAGGTTTCCAAATAATTTGAGTTCTGTCATAGAGATTGACTTAATTTCGTGCTTTCTTTGCCCTCTGGCACTCTTCTCTCTTGTACTGTCTCTTAAAATGTAATAATTAAAGCTTCCTCCATTTGGTAAGAGGCTTAGAAACCCTATTTATTAAAGCGATCCTCACCAGCTATCACTAAATGCTTAACGTTCTACCCAGAGGGCAATCCTGCTCTGCTCAAGTAGACATTTGTTAAATTGCGTAGTGAGGACAGATTTGAATCAGCCACTGATTTACTTTGCTTTTAGGGAGATCATCTTTAACAAAAAGTATTTCTCTCTTGGCTTCTGGTCTTTCCTGGTGGAAAGTTAGTGCCGTGAATGTTATGGCCACCAGGGTGACTAACATAGCACCACCGGAAAAATGGCAGATGGGGTTGCCCTATGGTGCAGAGAAAAGCCTAGAATTAAATGTTGTGGTATTTCTGTTTGATTCAAGAGCAATGAATTTAAAAGGAACCAGATTGTTTGCATATATTTGTTGTAATTTGTTTATTAATGACACAAGTAATAATGGACGTGGGATTTGGGTTGGTGATGGCCTGGAGTATGGGAAGACAATATCATGGCAGAGTTAGATCTAGGTTATCGTCAAGGGTCTAGCTTTTATTTCAGGTGGTGAGCTCAAGAGTGCTTTATTATTAAAAATAACTGAACTAACTTAAGTAAAAGTGGGCCATGCGTGGATCAGTAATGATAATGAGTTGTAGTTAATCCAGGACCAACTGAAAAACTAATGCATACTTAAAAAAAAAATTTAACAGGGTAGAATTATGTTAAACGTCCTCTGTCTTCTCCAGGCATATCTCACCCCATCCTCGGGGGACAGCCGCTGTTTAGTTCAGTGAATGTCCTTCTAGACCTTTCCTATGAGCAAACGATCATATGCACTTTATACACACATAGAGAGTTACTGTGTTTTCCCACACGGAATCATGACATGTACCATTCTGCCACTTGTCTGTGGAGGTTTTTTTGTTATAATGTAGTATGTTGTCAGTATGATTCATGCGCTAAATATGAAGTTATGTCATGCCTTTTGGCTATTGCATGGTATTCCAGGGCATGGTTGCATCATGGCTGATTTAATCGAGTTTGCTATTGATGAATGCATGGTTTTATTGTGTTTTCCTAGTACATGTGCCACATCATGACGTTTTGTTCAACGATGGACTGCATATATGATGGTGATCCACAGATAAATACCACATAGCCTAGGTGTGTAGTAGCTATACCGTCCAGGTTTGTGTAGGTTCGCTCTAGGATGTTCGCACAATGCCAAGATCAGCTGATGATGCATTTCTCAGAACTTATCCCCATCATTAAGCAACGAATGACTGTAGTGCCTCAGTTAACACCCATACTTAGATCTTTGTTCATTGTGAGTATATCTGAGGGTAAATTATGAGTTGATTTTTAGTATGACCTTGTTGGGCTACTAGGGAAGAAAAGCAATGACATTAAAAAAAACACACACTTTAAATGAAAATGCAATGAAACTGCCTTAAACTTTTAAACATAAAATAAACAAAGTCTTCATTTTTTTAAGCCTTCACTTGGCCTGTCCCGTCAGTTTCTGTATTCAAGCCTCAAATAATAACTCTTTCTGTACATAAGATAGGACTGAAAGAGTCTTGTTTCCAGGAAGGACAGTGGAGCTCTTGGTCTGAGAGAGCGACTGTGGCTTGGGCCCTTAGTGTCTACAGTGTCCAGCCTCTGCAACTCCCCAACCCCCTGAAATGGGGATGCAGAGCGAGCCAGCTGCCCATCTGCCACACCATTGCAACTAGGTTAATTTGACTAGATCTGCCTGGCTGGGCGGTGCCTCTTCCCTCCTCACCATCCCTCTCAGAGCTGTGCTTTCCACCGAAGAGGTGACCTTTCCGATACAGAAGGACCCTGTTTGACCAGGGAACATAACGAGCTGTGCTCCCCTGCTCTAAACCCTTCCGTATGAGCTCTCAAGGCCCATTTGTGAAAGAAGTAGGTGATTACAGTCCCATTTGAAGTTGACTTAAACTCTGGGGACCCTTTGAGACACAGATAGTAGATTCAGTTAAAAAAAAACCGCAAACATCTAATATTTAACATTCACATGAGGCTCCCTTGCTTATGGATTTTTCCAAGTTTAGAATCCTTTCAAACGAATGAACGACTCAAGGGCCGATTCTGCCCTGAGGCCGTCTGTAGGCTGAATCACCTCAGATTGTAGAAGTCTTATATATGCTCCACAGCACAGAAGATTGTTTGAATTGGCAATATTTTGTGCTTTTGTGCTGGTGAGTCTCAGTGTCCCTCTGTCGAGAAGTACAGTCATGCATCGCTTGACAACAAGGATATGTTCTGGGAAATGCGTCATTAGCAATTTTGTCATTGTGGGAATATCATAGAGTGTATTTACACAAACCTGGATGGTATAGCCTGCTACACACCTAAGCTATGTGGTACTAATTTTAAGGGACCCTGGTCATCTATGTGGTCCATTGTTGACTGAAATGTCATTATGTGGCGCATGACCGAATCTGTTTGTTTCTGGAGTGCAAATCCAAGAAAGAGGTTGCTCATCATGGTTGTGAAGTCTCTGCCACTTTAAAAGTCCTATGGAAACAGGTATTTACTTATTCAAGTCTTCAGAGCTGTAAGGGTAGCACTGGCAGTAATCAGGTAAATCAATCCTGGCCACCCTTGCAGCAAAGGTATCGCTTCACAGGAGAGGATGGATGTGGAGAGGAGCTGATTCCTGGCAGAGTCGATCACCTGGGTCGTGGAGAATATCGGTGTGACAACAGTAATCCTAAATTTACTCGCACGCTTTTCTGCTGATGAGGTTGCAGAGTCCTGACTGAGCACCTGTGATGTGCCCAGAACTGTGCTAGGTGTGTGGGGGGAACATAAAATTCTTGGTCTTTTTCACAAAGGAGCTTACACTCTGCACAGGAAGAATAAAACATACCCCTCAACACACCCATGTTCACACCCAGGGTGATTTGAACCAGTGCTCAAATACAAGCCATGGTTTCAAGTTGATGAAATGTCAGAGAGCAGACTTTTCTGTCTGGAGAGGCCATGCTGAGGGAGTGAGGAGGGGCGGGATGTGCATTGGTGGCCGGAGGAGAGTGACATTGAAGGACAGCAAGGAAGTGACCGTTAGAGATGGCCCCTAAGGGGACTGTGTAATTTTAGTGCTGGAACATACCCCTTGTCTCCTTCAGGATAACATCTTCATTTTACAGATGTGGAAAATAAGGCCCAGAGCAGTGGAATGACTTCTTCAAGGACAAAAATTTGGTAGCCAAGCTGAAACTGGAACCCACATTCCCTGTCTCTCCGCTGAGTGCTTTTTCCGTTAATTCACTGTGTCACAGCCAGACTTTTGAAAATGTGCTATTTGCCCGAAGTGTCAAGACTTATGTAATACCGAATCTGGCCCATTTTGGAACGGGCTTGCTTCCTTTCTATTTTGAGAGGGCTGCCATGGTGACATCATTTATTTTTCTGATGAGATTAAAGAAAATGTCAGCTGGCATCAAAGGTGCTAGGAAATGGGAAAATGGTGGTGTCATAAGTATGGTTATGATATTAAGCTTCCAGAACACCAGCCCAGGGCTTTTGACTTCCAGCAAGTGCTTTTAACTTAAGTCTCGATGTCCATGCCCAGTCAGGGTGGAGCCCGTGCCCCTGCCAGCCTTTGACCACGATGAGCGGCCTCTTTGTAATTCCACCTCTAATTTCCATCCTGCTCCCTTGCAAGCTGCCATAGATGTAATCTTTCCCTTCTTCCTTCATCATTTGCCCTGTTCCCACCCAAGAGTCAGCCAGAAGACAAATCTTTATTGAGTGTCGGATACTGTTCTAGGTTCTGGTCATACAGTGGTAAACCAAGTGAGTCCAGTTACTGCTTTCATGGCAGATACAGACCAGAAGGTTTGAAAATAGACGTTAAACAGATCATTAGGGATATGATAAAAGAGACATATAGGGGTGGCCTGACCCAGGTAATGTCCATTTAGGTTTCTGTCCAAAGCCCCCTGTGGAACGCTCTCCTTTAAAAGGCAGG